TTATAGATGTCTTGAGAAAGGAAATAAACATTTCCGAAAGCTTGACAACAACACAGTGTTCTTATTGTACTTGCTCTGAGCACTGTTCACTGCAATCCCAAATAAATTACTGGTTTATATATATATATATATATAACAAGCTTCTAAAGCTTTCATATCCAACCATCTCAAGGAGACCTTACAACTGCAAGCTCCTAAAGCTACCATATCACCACTCTCAGGATACCTCACAAACACTAATGGTATTAAACTCGTCAGTACTAATATACTAATAAGCATATAACTCAAAGTGGTAGGTTCAATCGAAAACATTTCTAAGCGAGGAAGTGCTTCTTTTAAGTACAAATATCAAAGTATGGATCGTTATCCTAAGGTCAAGCAACTCATCATTGAAGGAAGACCCACAACGTCGACGTACTCTAACCCAAGCGTCCATTGCGGCTGGCGTGAAGGGTGAAGCGTTTGATCATCTCAGTTATCTTTTCGCAGGCGAGCAAGCGACTAACCCCCCAGCACCACCACGAAAACTAAATACCCAGGTACTATCGCTCAACCTAATAATAGAGATATGGAGGTGCAAAACCACCTTTATATATCGCCAAGGGATACACTCAATCATAATATCAAATATCATTTATTTTTGTTATGCTTTCACATGTAACTTATTTTTGAAAATTGCTAATGTTTCTTTTTAAACATGATGACCTACAGGTTTATGACTAAATTAAATATATATTTTTTTACAATTTGAGTGTACACTTTACGAAATTTATAGTACTTGACGATACATTACAAAATGTTGAAAGTAAGTAAATACTTTCTTATCATTATAAAAATATTATTAACAGCTCCGCTTAATATTTAAAAAATATTGTCTCTACTCTTCGTATTTATGACAAGATGTAGTATAAGAGAGATAGGCACGCAACCAGACTTCTGGACTTGGGAATGAGGAGGCATGATTTTTGTAGATGGACCACTATCATGTAGTTTTAGGTGGGCTATGCCTGGTTACGTGTCTAAAGAGAGAGGACGGCATGTTATTACTTTGTGGACAGCATTAGCATGTTTTCTATCGGTTGATAAGATCGATTCACTAGGCAATGCAGAATTGGAAGGAAACCTATAAAACCTCACTAATTAGGTGGACAATCAAATATCGATTGGTGTCAATAACCTTTCGTATTGACTGATTAGTATAGTATCTTGTATAGTGTATTTTTATAATTGTATTTTGCGAAAATTAAGAATAATACAATCGTTTTTCTCAATATTTATTCGATTGAGGTCAACTAATTAAAGCATGTAAAAGGACAACAAAACAAGTTTTTAATTTTGATATTAATTTTAAAGATGAGTAATAAAAATAACAGAATAAGTAAGTAACAGTAAGTAATAGAATTTGTTCCCTC